TTTTTCAAATCACGTATACCGTTTTTAGTGCCATTTTAACGCGTATACATTGCCTATATTGTCTATATTGTATATAGCTAACTCCCTTTTTTTTCCGACACAGAAGGGGAGCATTGTAGCGAAGCTACTTATTTATCGTTCGAATTATTTCACTATATTGTATTCGCACCGGCTTAGCAGCCGAATACCTGACTACGTCACCTCGTGGCGATTCGTCATATTTCGGGCACCATCGATCGGATGATCTAATTGCCTGTATCGTCGCGAGAGACAGATTCGTCATAGCTCTCAAGGTGTAAACATCGACACATTCGCTGTGAATACATTCCATTCGATTTCTACCGTTATAACGCGTGTTATAATTTCATCAACCCGTCCAACATTCCCGAGTATCCCACAAAAACAATATTTTTTTAAAAAAGCTTAGAAAACTTATGACAAAATCTATGGAGCATTTTTTTTGTTATTCTCAATGGCCCGTAATTGCAATTGAAAAAAAAGTTTTAGATGAAAAAAAAAAATTAATCTTCAATATCTCGACCAATACTAGAGTTAGATAACTCCGTTTGCGCTCATTTTTCGCCTTTTTGGATCAGACTACTCTTTCCGATCGAAAATAGAAAAAAACTTTTACAATTTTGAGGCAATTTTTTGTATACAGAATTGGCAGATTCGCTCGTATAAATCGTCAAGTTTGAGTGAACGTAAACAGGAAAATAAATTGAGAAGTCATTGGACATCCGAGTGATTATCGAACTTAACTGACCGTACGATTCTGACCCATCAGCATTTCACAAGTTCAACGAATCACCTGACGAATTCACAATTAAATAATTTCAATAAAAATTCCAATTTTTGCTGAACAGACCCCGATCTCACAAGTCTATTCCATTGTCATTACAATATTATATAACATTATTATGAAGTACCCCATCTATTAAAAGCCTATCAATAAATCCACATTAAATGTAAAAGGATGTCAAAAATTAAATTGATGACAAAATTAGCACTTTTTTCACCTCAGTAATACCAACGTCACTACTGCGATACTTCCGTATACCCTGTTAAGCTGAAACTGGAAAAGGCAAACGTTTGGAGTATGCAAGTTTGGATAGTTGTGAGACACGCAGAGGTATCCGTTCCAAGTATCCACGGACCGCGAGAAGATTAACATCGCCAGTCGGTTGCACGCGAATGAGACAACTAGCATCAATGGCCTGATTCCCGTTCCGTTTCTCATTAGTTATTATCACCTTTGAATGAAATAATTCAAGAGAAATAAAAGAAAAAAGAGCTGAAGAATTATGCTGCAGGAACATTGATACTACAAAATTGAAATCACGTGTGTTGAATTGATGCTATTCGCATTTTCGATGCTCTCTGGAATATTCTTAATGATCTAATAAGAAACAGTCCAAATAATAAATTTTCACTGAAAGATTACCGTCAGGGTTCAGCAAGCGTTTGCAACCATTGGTAACCAAGCTAGTTTTCGAAATGTAAAAAACAGGTAATTTATGAGACAGGTTTCAGACTTCTTTGACCGCTGGAAGAGGCATACCACACGCCAAAGGATAGATCATGAATGCAGCGAAATGGTCAGAAGGCTCTCCCACTTGATTTCGCGAGGATCAAACGTTGCAACGATCATACCTCGCAACGGTCAAACGTTGAATTCAAAGTCAAAGTCAAAGTGCTGCTCTGAATCGAATCCTAAAATGAAGGGGTCCGCAAAAATAATATTAACGAGTTGTTATACAGGGAAAAATGATAATTTAATCCAAAAGAAGCCAAGTAAAATGAAATAGAGTTAAAAGACAAACAGTTGTGAAAACCCCGTCTCTCTGGCTATCTTGCCCTCCGAACTCGGCGAAAAATGAACAAACAAATAAATATACAACGAATGACTCGACACAAATCTACCACTTCCCCTGCGATCTGTCGTGACAATAAAATACTAGTCAGATGAATTAATTAAGGTCAATGAAAGTCAAAAGATAGTCAGAAAATGAAATCACTAGTTAATTTACTTGAAGTCAAATAATCGGAAGGTAGGGATCTACTGTTACCCCGAACATTAAGCACGTCCACCAGAGTGGCGATAACGAGAATCAACTCCACGTGAATTTGAAAGGGGTCCACAGTTTGTCTGTTGTCGACATTTTGCCTCGACACAATATGGACAACAGAGCCGGCAACTGATAGAATATCAGCCGGCGACGAAATAACACTCGAGCGCCGAAAATGCGCTACAATCCCACTTTCAGGAACACGATAAATTCCAAAATGCGATATTATTTAGGCCCAAGATAAAAGCGATGTTAAACCGGCCAAACGTTAACCGAACGACAAAAGTAGTAATCCCGAGGAAATAACACAACATTTTCGGCAAGATTTCATTACAGACTGCGAAAGTTACACTCGTATCAGAAAACAATATTTTAGAGATTACGAGCCTGGATTAGCATTATGGCTAAGAATTTTTCATAACCCTGAGTTAGATGCAATGAGAAAAGTGTATAAATTCATCAAAAAGGTGATTGACTTACGGAACAGGTGAAAATGTTAATGTAACTCTGTATGTAGACTAGAATCAGCGAGAGAGTAATTCATAGTATAAGGTGTACAAATAAGTTTTAGGACACTTGGCAAAAAATTAAAAATTCATTTTCGAAAAAAAATAAACTACATTTATTCATCAAAATAATCTCCATCATTTTGAATGACCTCCAACCATCTGTTAGGTAATTCACGGATGCCTTCCGCTAAGAAAGTTTCATCTTGCGAGGCGAGGAAATTAGCGACCCATTTTTGCACCTCTTCAAATGTTTTGAATCGCGCATCAGTCAATTCGTTTTACATCTACGAAAGAAGTAAAAATCAGTTGGAGCTAAGTCTGGTGCATACGCTGGGTGCGGCACAACATCCCATCCAAGAGCCATTAACGTATCTTTGACCGGTTTACCCACATGCGGCCTGGCGTTGTCATTGAGCAATTTTACTGAACGTTTTCCTTTGCCAGTAAATGGACATTTTTGTTCACTTTCTTGATTCAATCTTATTAATTGTTGACGATAGCGATCGGCAGTAACTGTCTCGCCAGACTTCAAAAGTTTATAATGCAGTACGCCTTTCATATCCCACCATATACACAGCATGATCTTCTTACAGTGAATATTGCGCTTCGGCGTCGATGTCGATGATATTTGCGTTTTGGATTATCAAAATAAATCCACTTTTCATCGCCGGTCACAATTTTCCACAAAAAAGACTTTCTATGTTGCTTATTGTAAAGATTCAGACATATGTCAAGTCTGCTATCTTTATTTTCTTGAGTTAAAAAGTGTGGGACCCACTTTGTTCCTTTTCGAATCTTTCCCATTGCATTTAAGCGATAAGAAACGGTCTGTTGAGTTACTCCAAGCTGTTTTGCAAGTTGTTTTTCCGTCTGGCAAGAGTTTTCATCCAGCAACGCTTGCAGTTCCTGGTCATCCACCCTTACAGGGGCCCCGATACGTTCACGGTCACTAACGTCGAAATCACCTTCTTTAAATTGCTTATACCAATACTCACATGTATTTTTAGATTCAATGTTGTCCCCAAGAACAGAACAAGTCGATTGACATGCTTTCCTAACAGCCTTTCCTTGATGGAATTCATAGCGAATGCAGTGTCTAATAAAAAGCTTATCGGTCTGCATGTTTTATTCACAGAATTCAAGGTTATGTTTATGAATCCTTTATGTTTTGATACTACATAACAAACCCCACCATATCATCTGTAAGCGGTAACTTTGAATTACTTTCATGACACGGAATCGAAGTATCCTAAAACTTATTTGTACACCTAATATTTAATATTAATTTTTCTAGTTGATTTCCGTCCTTTTTTAAGATATTATAAGATATCTTCTACATTTACTGTTTTCTTTCTCATTTTCGAACAGCGTTTGTACAGCCTATGAAACAAACATTTGCAAATCACTGTAAGTTCACTCAAACCTATCCAAACTGCGGTACCCCAAACCTAATCTTATTTACCGTTAAAGTCAAAGCGATTATAACTCTTTGTAACAAGTGTAAAACTTGAACAAATAAATATACTTACTTACTTACTTACTATATCTTGCGAGAGTCACGAGGACCATATCTTGCATACGACACAAAAGTCATACCTAGCAAGCCTCAAACGTCATCAGGGTCATATTTCGCAAAGATCATGTCTCGCAAGGGTCTAATGTGGCACAGGTCATATCGAAAGTTGCCTGCCTCGTGAGGGTCAAATGTCGCAATGGTCATACCTCACAAAGGACCAACGTTGCAACGTTCAGAAGTCGCAACCATTATACCTCGTGAGGATCATGTCTTTCGTTAAATCCTTGAGGATTTTCCTTCCTGTACCTTTTTTCTTGACTCTCATAATCGTTGAACCGTTGTGATTGTCTTTCCTGTCTCCCCGGTTAATACTTATTGTCGTCTAATCTTTGAGAGTATCCTCTGCCTACCTCTGTTGTTTAATCTTTACAACATTTGACCCTCGCGAAGTATAACCCTTGCGATGTTTGATCCTCGAGAGGTATGACCATTGCGATGTTTGACCGTTGTGAGTCATGATCCTTGCAACCCTGGGAACGTGGCAAAATACGCGTAGTATTTTACTTGCCCAACCCTGGCCATCACTAGTTCCATATGTAGTATTCCACGCGAAATGAGTCAACCGCTGACTCACCCTCTCGGAAATTAATGTCAATTTTTTCTACGATTGGGAAGGTTGAAAAACTCTGTCTCAAATTTTTT